TTTGTTATTTATAAAGCAAAAAAACAGGGAGGTATAAAAAGGGGCCAATTATTATCTTGGAAATAAAGTATATCCTTGTTGAAATCCATAACTCAACTGATAGTCAAAATGATAGAACATCCATGCTGCTTCTTTCTAAAATAAAATAGACCAGACACAAATGAAATGATGTAGTTAACTGGAGTATAGAACTGAGGAAACCTTCCCAAACATAGTACAGAGAACTGAAGAAAGAAAAACAACTTAAGATACATGGAGAATTGATTGAGAAATGACATATATATATATATATATATAGTGCAGTCATATGCTGCATAAGGAGGTTTAGGTCAACAATGGACCATAAGTACACAATGCTGGTCCCATAAGACCAGCATTCTAAGTTTTTGCTGTACCTTTTCTATGCTTAGATATGTTTAGATATACAAATACTTACCATTGTATTACAGTTACGTACAATATTTACTATAGCATTTATACAGTAGAGTATGCCGTAGAGGCTTATACCCGAGGAGCAACAGGCTATAGCACATAGCCTAGGTGTGTAACAGACTATACCATGTAGGTTTGTGTAAGAGCACTCTGTGATGTTCTCACAATTAAATCACCTAACTGTGCATTTCTCAGAACGTGTCTCATCATGAAGTGACACGTGACTATATATATGCATATATATTCAGACAGAGAGAATAGAAATAATGATGGAAAGGAAATCTCCAACGAACAGCAGTTGAGGTATTTCCAGAATTAAAGAAAATCTTGAAGCCTCTAAGGAAGTCCCCAGAGGGCAAAGCACAATAAGAAAAACCATATATACTATAAAATCCTGAGCATGAGACTAAATAGATAAAAGGAAATACACCAAAGTGTCAGTAGTGTTTACCTATGGTGATAGGATTTGGAGAGAGATTTTTATCTTCTTTAAATTTTAATGTACTTCCTAAGTGCTCTACAGTGAAAAGACATTATTTTTATATGTCTGTGGAGGAGAGAAACATTTGTTACGTCAAATACACATACACAGATAAACACAGTTTTTTAAAAAAAAAAAATCTGCCCTCAAACGACTTATACTCTAGTAGGACAGATGAGGTTTGCATAGAAATAACATAGAAAACAAAACCTAAGTGATAACTGGCATGGATGGATATAGCTAAAATCTGAGCCTCGTCTTTTCCTGCACGGAGCAGTTAGGAATAAGGAGAGAAGTGGTGGGGGGTGAGAGGGGTTGAGGACACTGAGTAGAAGTGTAAAGATCTAACCCATATGCTGGGCTTACTAGGGACTATTACTGCAGCTGGAGTGTGTTTCACTTAGACAGGGTCAAAATGGCCAAGCCAAGATAAGATTAGAACTTTATCTACATCGAGTATTGTTTTCACCTTTAATTAATTAATTTATTTATTTATTTTCTTTTTTGAAACAAAGTCTCACTCTATCACCCAGGCTGGAGTGCAGTGGCACAATCTTGGCTCACTGCAACCTCCACCTCCTGGGTTCAAGCAATTCTCCCTGCCTCAGCCTCCTGATTAGCTGGGATGACAGGGGCCTGCCACCACATCTGGCTAATTTTTGTATTTTTGTAGAGATGGGGTTTCAGCATGTTGGTCAGGCTGGTCTTGAGCTCCTGACCTCAGGTAATCTGTCCACCTTGGCCTCCCAAAGTGCTAGGATTACAGGCGTGAACCACCTCAACCAGCCTTATTTTCACCTCTAATTTAGTTGTATTGCAAGACCACTCAACAATGCAAGCAAAACATTAACACCTCAGTTGTAAATTAAATTAACACCACAAAAATCTGCCACATTTGCATGACATTTCGATTGTCATAAGGCTTTGTTGTTTTCTTTAAGGGTCAAGTAGACAGAGAGAAGGGTAAAAAAAAAAAAAAGTGTGTGTGTTCATTTTAACTGATAACCAAATTGACTACCTTTCTTATCGGCAGGGGCACTATCATGTTGCCAATTTAGAAGTAAAAATAACAAAAGTGTGTTCTGGGTGGCTTTTCCAAATCAACATCATTTTATCAGGATGCAGAGGTCTTATCAATCTAGGGTGGTTGAAGCTGTAGTCATAATACCATTGGCACACCCAGGCTAGGCAGAGTTTTAAGCAATGCACCATGACTGTTTCTTTGGAGCCAAATAAATGGAATGTTCAGCTCTAAATGAAACAGGTGGCAGAAGCACAAGCCATCTACGTATGTTACTAATGGAAGGAAGGGATGTTCACATCTCAGACAATCTCCTTTCTAAACACATCCCCAGTGTCTCAAAATACCACCTTTTAAACCAGCTCCTCTCAGTATCACCCAACTCCTCTCAATATCACCCAACTCCTCTCAATATCACCGTTCCACATAGGGACTAGACATATGCCCTGATGTTACCTCCACTGAGCTCTTTGCTTCCCTGCCACCTTGCCTTATCTCCCTAGAGTTCCACCAGAATCACAGAGAGGGGCCAATCTCTCCAAGACCAACTCTGAAAGTCCCAACAACAATAGGGAGTATCAAATCCCCTCCCCCATTTTTGAACTAATGGACCCTTTCATTCTTCTGTCTCCAACTCCTCTTAAACCTCTACTCTTCATTTCTCTGGAAATGTCTTTTCTCATCTTCCTCTTGTCCTTTCCTGATTCCTTTTCTCTTCTTACCCTTAAGTGAGGCCACATTTTGGTCCACATCCCCAAAAGGCAGTTTCATCACAGAGGAGAGAAGAACGTTTCCACCCATACTCCCTGGACTTCTCAGAACCTTCTTTCTAATGCCTCCTTCAAGGGAAGAACAGTTGCTGGTCTAGCTGGTCAGAGCCTGCCATTCACTGGGTCAAGATTCACTAGCAGGCAGGGTCCCTGCCTATCAAGGGGGTTCCTATCCATGACCCTACACTCTTCCTACTTCTCTCTGCCTACAGTTGGATGAATGCATCACATGACAGCCTGAGCCACACACCTATCGGCTGAGACTTAGAAGTAAGAGCCAAAGCCTACCTGGAACCTCCCCATCTCATACCACCTTTTCCAATTCAGCTTTTCCCAGATTTCTCCAATGGGTTGTGCCAAACCCTCATGGATCCAGAAATTTCACTTTCAATACGGCTACTGTTTCTTGTCTATAGCTACTTCAGAAAAACTCAAGAAGGAAGAAGGGATCTGTGGTAATATTTAAATCCCAAAATCACACTGCAAGGCCTGGCTGGAAACCGGCTGTTCTTCCTCAATGCCTTCATTAGAAGATTGGCCCCTCCTATACAAAAGCCCTCTAGGCTGTGATTCATCACAGCTCTCCATGCTCAGCCCCTCCCACAAAACAAGACTGGTTCCTTGGCCCTCCTGAAGATGGATGACATCATTAAAGTATGGGCTTGATTTAGTGGAATGGAAGATCACAGCTTGGGACCAGAAATTCAGCTACCTAGCTACATCACCCACTATGTGGTCTTGGCGAAGTCCCTTAACTCCCCTATGGCTCAGTCACTTCATCTGAAAGTTACAGGTTGCTCCAGGAAACCCGAAGGTCCTCTCCAGTTCTGAAATTGTCGGTGGTGGCAGAGCATGGCTAGTCCCTACTATCTTCTTCCCAGAAAGGAGCCCCCCAAAACTGAGAAGTGACTGGGAAAACGCTCAACCACACACAAGAATTCTGCTAGGCTGCAAACCATTTAAAATGAATGTTTAATAAGATACTGCATCAACTGTGTGCTTCAGCTGAATGTGCTGTAGCCCAGGAGACCCGAAAGAATTAATACGGTTCCCAAAGGAGCTGATGGGAATTGCTGAAACAGAAGCAAAAGCTGATGTGATGAATATAAAAGTGCTTTGAGAGCATCAAAAGGTAAGTGCTACAGTGAATGTCTGCTCACCCCACTAGAATATCTCCTGCCATCTAAGGAACATTCTTCAAGAAGGTCTCAGGGCTAGAGACCGTGGCACACAAGTACACTTACTCTCCCCTTCTGAACTCCCAATCCTTTCTCAGGACTTAGAGGACAGTACACACACAACTCCAATCTTTCCCTTTTTTCTTATTCCTCACTTTACTTCTTCCTTCCAGCCTTCTTCCTTCCCTCCACTTCTGTGTAATTCCCAAACCGAGCTGTCCTAACTTCTCCTTCAAATCTTCAATCTCTCTCCCTTCTTCTCCAAACCGATGCTCCCAGGCTGTCCACAAAAAAAGACCCTCTCTCATTCGAAGTCAACAGACTTTTTTACACTCTTTGGTGCATTTTGAGACCCTCCAACTTTAGCACCAAGACCCATCTTTGTTCAGGAGCCAACTCTTTCATCTGAGGGCCTTGGAGCCCCAGACAGAGAACGTGTAAGGAAAATGCCAGGCCCTCCATGCTCTGGCTTTGGAGTTAATTATCTCCACTCCCACCCATCCCCTTGAGGAAGGGGTATCTCCTCCGCTCCTCTGGCCCAGGGTTCTCAAACTCCCTACCTCTGTTCCTCTAATTGCAGAGTCGGAGGAAGCATGACATTTTTTCTGCCCTTTTGTGCTTTACCTAAAAACTTTGCATTTTCTTCCAGAACCTACCCACATTTAATAATTTTTAGAAATAGTTTTAGTCACTTACCATAAAAGGATAAAATGGACATTTTCCCAAAAAATAATCAGGTAAAACTGGCATTGTGGAAACAGGAACCATATATCTCCAGTGCTCCTGGGCCCACCTCTGTGCCCCACGGTACTTGTAAATCTCCAAACATGCTACCACCACCACCACCACCCCACAGCCTACTTCTCAGTTTTCTGAGCTCTTCCTGGAACGCCCACACCAAAGTGCTCCTGTGTACACCATTTTCAGAAACAAGGCAAAAGGCATTTCCATTCATTTCTGGGTTGGAGAGGCAAGACCTGGGCCAGTTGCCACGACTCTCCCACCCCCACCCCTACTTCACATCAAGACAGATTCTAGGGGTGTCCAAGGACCTGCAGCAGCTGCCTTGCAGCTGGTGGCTTCCCGGGTTCTGGCAGGGCATCAGATCCCGGCCTTACCTTGTCAGCCATGATCATAGATGCGCCCCCGTGAATGCCCAAGATGGGGATGAAGGTCTGGGAGGAGATAAAATCCAGCATCTGGGCCACGGCCTCCTGGTCTGTGTCGTCCCCAAACACGAGGCCGTGGATGCGTGCCCCGGACATGAGGTCGCACACGTGCGTGATGAGGCTCTTGGGGTCGGTGCGGTTCATCAGCAGAGCTACCACGTTCACGTCCAGGGGCAGCCCCGCCGCCTGCTCGGGGCCCCACAGGGTTCGAAGTTCGCGCTCTGTCATGTCGTGGCTGTGACCCAGCATCACCGCAATATTCAGCGCGGGGGAACCCTTCTCCGCCGCCGCGCTCGGCGCCGGACCGCGCCAGACCAGAAGGGCCGGCAGCACCAGCAGGGTCCAATAGCCCACTCTGCCCATAGTCGCCACTGACGGTCCCTGCAAAGTGAAGAGTGAGAGGCAGGGCCGCGGTGAGCAAGACGACCAGAAGGAAGGGATTACCAACGGGGCCCCTGCTCTACGAGTCAGGGATGGAACTCAGCAGCTGGATAGGCTGCTGGGAGCACAGACTCCATTCCCAATCCTCGACGTCATCCACGTCCCTCGATCCGTCTCTAACTCTGTCTACAACTCCAATCCGAGCTAATTCTGCATCCCCCAGCCCATTCTCACATCCAGCTTCCTCATCCCCTGTCTCCAGGCGCTTCCTCATCCCCAACTCTGTCCATATCCCCCACAGCAGTCCCCAGGTTCGCTAAGGGCCACAGACCCTAAGCGCCGCGCGCGTTCTTTACCCCATCAAGCTCATAGGTGCACAGAATAAACCCTCCACCCAACCCCTCCCACCTGGGATAGTGAGGACCAAGTTATCAACCCCGCCCCCTGCTGGCGCGGAGCGAACTACAGACCCGGCTGGGCGTGCGGAGGCGGCGCCCAGACCCCGCGTCCAGGCCTGAGAGTGGAGCTAGTTGGCTGACCCCGCCCCCTGCGAGCCCGTCGCGTGCGCCACACACTTTGCTCTACGCCCAGCCCCAACTACAGACCCGGCTCCTCTCAGGCCGAGTACACCCCAGGTGCTTGGGAGTGAGGACGCTGCCTGGTGGGCCCAGGCTCCGCGGTGCCTGGGGGAACTTGGGGCTCGCCCCACCTCGCGCCGAGGGACCGTGAAGAGTCCTTCACTCAACTGCAAGTAGGCCCAGGACCCACCCCCTACACGCGCGCGTGCACACACGCACATGCACACACACATGTTCACACACACACACCCTCTCTCACGCGCGCCGTGTGCAGTGCTGAATTCTGGAGAGTAGGCGCGTCCCCCCGCGGGCCAGCGCGTGGGAGCTGGCAAAGAACGTGCGTAGGGGGAAAGGTAGGCTCCCAAGAAGCTCCTAGACGGACGTGGACTGTACAGCCCCTCCCTAGCCTTTCTACTGCGGGCGCTGTTGCCAAGTCTTAGGTGCACGTGGGCAGTGGGCCGCACACGCTCATAGGCACGCGCGCTTTTCTGCGCACTTCCTCAGGCTGGTGAAGCGGTGCCCACTGCCAGCCGGAGTCCTCACACGTCCTCAGGTGGGGCACACGCATGAACGGCGGCAAGTGCACAGCCCCGCGTACCTGAAAATACCAGCGCGGTCGTGCACGCGTGACCTGGCGCGCGCCTCTCAGACCGGGCGCTGCTGGCGCCGGGGGAAGTTGAGGCGAACTCCTAGCGGCCTCGGCGTTCCTGGGTGAGCGTCGCTGAGCGCGGAGCCGCAGCGCCCCCTGGTGCCCCTACTGCGCCTCGCCGCTGGGCTCCCTCCCGCTTTCCCTCTCCCCTCTCTAGCCTGATCATCACCTCTCCCGCTCTCCCTCCGGTCGAGTCTCCCTCCTCCCCGGCCCACGGAGCCCTGATCTCCCGCTGGGACGTACCTGTAGCCCGAGAAGGTCGAGGATGCAGTGGGGCGCGCTGCGCGCACGATCATCTCGGCCGCCTCAGCAGCCACCGGGTTTAGCGGGTTCCCGCATGCTGCGGCCCCCGCGCGCTCCCCTGGCTGTCCCGCGCTGTCCGCATCGCCCCCACGAGGGGCGGCTATCCCAGCCGGAGGCTCTGCAGCAGGGCTCTACCGGGGCGGAGGAGAGAAGGAGAGGCAGGGTCAGCCCACCAGCGAGGGGAGGGAGGGTTGAGGGGAAGGCTGCAGTCTGCAGCGCTCACAAGCCCCCCTGTGCGCCCAGGGGGGCTAGACAAGAGGGGGGAAGCTGAAGCCCCATGCCCACGACGCCCCCAGTGCGGATCCTCAGCCCCTGTGACTGATAGCGGGAGCTCCACTCCAGGGTGCACAGGAGAATGGGAGCCCCAGGTTGGCAACCCACGAGAAGCTAACTGGGCACCTCCACCCGCACCCCCTACCACCTCCCCAGCGCCGGCTGCTGGGAGTTGTGCGACCGGGAGCTGCTAAGCGAGGGGGGTAGGGAGAGAAAGAGGAGGTAACAAGGGTGGGGGGGCGCTGGCTGAGTTTGCGACGAGCCGGCAGTAGGAGAGGGGGAGGGAAGGACGCGGGCTCCCGCGGTCCCGGTTCCCCGAGGGAGGTGGATCGTTCCCACGCAGCGACCCTCTTGAGATCCTGCCGCTCCCTCCCTCTCCAGGCCTCCCACCTCCCCCTTCCCAAGGGGGCCTTCCAGGCCCGGCGTCCCGCGCCAGCACTCACCGCAGCCTCTCTCCACATAGTTCTCAGCAGTGGCCGCTCCTGGTCATCTCCAGGGCTGATGGCTGCGGCCGCGATTCTTAGCGCTCACCCGGTCCCATGATCCGGCCAAGCCCTAGGAGCTCCCCTCCAAGAGTCCTAGCTCTGCTTCCTGCCCCACTCCGGACGGCAACTGCCCGGTCCTCTGAGCGCGCCGGAGCACCCTCTCCGCAGCCCAGCTCCGGGCTGGTGTGTTTGAGGGCGAATGTGTGTGAGTGAATGTGGGAGCGTGCGCGCGCGTGTGGCCGGGGATCCCCGCGGTCCCCGGCCGAGAGAGGCGCGGGCGGGGAAAGGCAGCTCCCTCCGGGCCCTTCGCTGCGGGGCCAGCTCCGCGCAGGGCGTTCGGCTCTCCACTTCCCAGCGGGAGTCCGGAGAGCGCCTGGACACCCTGGTTCACGGCACTGGCAAAGCCGGGTTCCCGGGGCGTATTTCTGCTGCGGTCGCCTCCGAGGAAGAGGAGGGGGAAGGCAGGGGCGCCCTCCACACCAACTTAGGGACTTGTTCGCAGCCGGCGAGACGCAGTAGCCCCCGCGCAAGCCCAAGAGGCTTGGAGCTCCGGCGGGCGAAAGCGTCTCCTGCGCGCAGCCTCTCTCCTAGGTGGGTCGAGACAGACCCCGCAGTCCCTCGGCGGCGACGCGGAGCGCGGCCACCCGTTCTGAGAGCGCACGGCGGCAAATAAGGCCAGGATAGGTGACTGGCTGGCGACGGGGGCGCCTGCGGCGGCGCGCGCTGCTGTCCGTGGTGTTGGAACCACGCTCTCCGCCCGCTCCCGGGCGTCTGGTGCGGCTGAAGAATCAATTATTCAGATCTCTGTACCGCTTCCTCCTCCCCCAGTGCCTCGCGCTGGGTACAGCAATCCCCCTCCACGCACAGGCGCGCCGACACACACACACACACACACACACACACACGCGCGCACAGAGTCTGCTCCAATGCTTCTCCCTGTGCCTCGCCACCCCCGTACGGGAACCCACTCCTCTGATCTCAGGGAGCCGGAATCCTAAAAGCAAAGACTTCTGCATTTCCCACTTGCTTCCTTCTAAGTTGCACCAAAAAGAAGCCTCCCTGAGGCTGCGACTTCTAAGCTACCAGAAGAGATGAGCCAGAGAACATGGGACGGCCTGGGTGTGTGAGGGCTCGGTTGACTTAAATTCTAGCGACTGGGCATGAAATGCATGGCCGAGTGAGGAGCTCTGCCCCTTTTATACTCACCTGTATCTCCAATGCCTGTCTGCCTTTCAGGCCTTGGAAGGAAAGGGGTCTTAAATTCTAAGAGGTTTTGCAATCACTGTTCTAAGCCCGCCTCCTCCTCTTAACCTAATGTCACCTGCTGCGGTCTAAATGTGTGTGTTCCCACCCCCAAATTCACAGGATAAAATGCTAACTCTCAAGGAGATGGTATTGGGGCCTTTAGGAGGTGACTTCATGGCTTCATGAGAGTAAAATGGGATCTGTGCTCTTATAAAAGAGACGCCAGAGAATCAGCTAGGTCCTTCCACCAAGTGAGGCTTAATCAAGAAGGCATCGGCCTATGAGTAAGAACCAGGCCCTCCCCAAACATTGAGTCTGATGCCACCTCATCTTGGACCTCCCGGCCTCAAGAAGTGAGAAAAATAAACTGCTGTTTATGATGTTTTGCTATGGCAAGCTGGATCAAACTAAAAACATCACTTTTGGACATTATATTACCTCCCCTTGTTGATCACTAATCTGGAATTGGGGGGCAGTAAAAACATCTACTTCTCAGGATTATTTTGAAAAGAAAAGGAGGCAGCCTTAGTAAAGCAAGGTCTGGCACATAGTAGATGCTCAATCAACATCATGCGCCTTGAAGTAGCCTGGAAGCAGGGGAACTTCCTCCAAGAATGTGGATGTGGCTGCTGAAATGGAGACAGGAGAGGGGTAGAGTGTCTGGAGACAAATGGATTCCTTATTGAGCTGGTTGTTCTATGTTGGGTTTCCTGGATTTTGTTTTTGTTGTTGTTGTTGTTGTTGTTGTTTTAATCCAAAAGACAGAGAAAGGGTGAGGGAAATCCTGGAAAGTACATTAAAATGGGGGATTGTATAATATAAGGCAGGGAGCAGGAAAGTGTTTCCTTTCCTGAGCCTATGGCTGGGCTGAACTGATTAGGCCACTCCTTGACACCCATGCAAGACTCTGGCTTGGGGTCTAAAGGGAAAGTTAGGCCATTTTATTTAAATGAGCTATAAATTATAGATAATAAAATTCATACCTCGTAAGGGTTTCATTTGTGAAGGTTTTTAGGTGTTTGGGTTTTTATTTTTGTTTTTGTTTTTGACAGGGTCTTGCTCTGTTGCCCAGGCTGGAGTACAGTTGTGTGGTCGTAGCTCACTGTGAACTTGAACTCCTAGGCTCAAGTGATCCCTCTGCCTCAGCTTCCCAAGTAGTTAGGACTTTAGTGGTTAGCACATGCTACCACATCTGGTAAATTTTTTATTTTTTGTAGCGACTGGGTGTTGCTATGTTGTCCATGCTGGTCTCAAACTCTTGTCCTTAAGAAATCGTCTGGCCTTGGCCTCCCAAAGGCTGAAATTACAGGTGTGAGCCACTGCACCCAGCCAGTTTGTTACTTTTGAAAATCTGTGTATCCACACAGACCATCATGTAAAACAAAGTACAGAGTATTTTCATCACCACCAGGAAATTTTCTTGTATCCCTTTGTTGTCAATCCCACTCTCCCCACTCAGTGTAAACT